GGCCATAATAAAAAAAATAATAGATTGTGGCAGGGATGTGGTAAAAGGGAGCACTTTTACACTGTTGGTGAGAATGTAAGCTAGTACAATCACTACGAAAAACAGTGTGAAGATTCCTTAAAGAACTAAAAGTTGATCTACGATTTGATCCAGCAGTTCCACTCCTGCATAGCTACCCAGAAGAAAAGAAGTTATTATATAAAAAAGATAATTGCACACACATGTTTATAGCAGTACCATTTGCAGTTGCAAAAATATGGAACCAGCTAAAATGCCCATCAGTCAACGAGTGGATAAAGAAAATATGGTATATATAGATGATGGAATACTTCTTAGCGATAAAAAGGAACAAAATAATGGCATTCACAGCAACCTGGATGGAATTGGAGACCATTATTCTAAGTGAAATAACCCAGGAATGGAAAACCAAACGTCGTATGTTCTCACTCCTAAACGGGAGCTAAGATATGAGAATGCAAAGGCATAAGAATGATACAATGGACTTTGGGGACTTAGGAGAAAAGGTGGGGGGTGAGGGATAAAAGACTACACATTGGGTACAGTGTACACTGCTTGGGTGATGGGGCACCAAAATCTCAGAAATCACCACTAAAAAACTGATCCGTGTAACCAAACACCACCTATTCCCCAAAAGCCTGTTGAAAAAAAAAGATGAGGAACTGTCAGTTTGATACAGAAGAATACTCCTATTAATTAAGAAAAGGAGATTCTCAGGAAAGAAAAAGAAACTCAGAAAAAAAAAAAAAAAGAATTTCAGAATAGTGACAGCAAAGCATTAATCCTAATGTGGGACCCTTCTGTACATAGAGCTCTGGACACAGGTTGTATGTCCACAAAGCTGGCCCCGAAAACTTCTACATATTAAATAGCCATAATAAAAATATAACAATTGGGAATGATTTGCAATTTAAGCTTGCAGTTATTTGCAAATTAAAGCAATAATGTATGATTTATTTGTATTTTGAAATTAAGATTTTTAAAAAAATAAATTTATTTCAATAGTTTTTGGGGAACAGGTGGTTTTTGGTTACATGGATCTATTTTTTAGTGGTGATATCTGAGGTTTTGGTGCACCCAGCAACCAAGCAGTGTACACTGTATCCAATGTGTAGTCTTTTATCTCTCACCCCCTGCCCCAACCTTCCCCGTGAGTCCCCAAAGTCCATTATATCGTTCTTACGCCTTTGCATCCTCATAGCTTAGCTCCCAGTTATAAGCGAAAACTTAGGATATTTGGTTTTCCATTCTTGAGTTACTTAGAATAATGGTCTCCAGTTCCATCCAGGTTGCTGTGAATGCCATTATTTTGTTCCTTTTTATGGCTGAGTAGTATTCCGTGGTGTATATCTATGAAACTAAGATTTTAAAAGAAAATCATGTCCCTGTGTTGGTGAAAATATGATCAAATAGTCGCATACTACTAGGAGGAGTGTACAGTTATTTGAAAGCAGTTTATTTCTCTATATTAAGAACTTTCAAATTATTCATATCCTTTGGCCTGATAACTCTTATTCTAAGAGAAATTATGATAAAGGTTTAAGTTGTACATGAAAACACTATTATAAAAATTATAAATACCTTACACATCTGACAGTATGAATATTAAGGTACAGCCATATGATAGACTATTTTGCAGCCATTAAAATGATATTTTAGACATGAGTAGTGTTTATTATACTGTATTAATATTAAATGAAAATAGCAAGATGCCATATTTCATAAAAGGTGTGTTCAATGACAAACATTTTGACAGGGGTAGTAGTGCATGCCTGTAGTCCCACCTACCTGGGATACTGAGGCAGAGGAGAGGATCCTTTGAGCCCATCTGGGCAATGTAACAAGACTCTATCTAAAAAATAAAGATGGAAATGAAGTTTTTTAAAAAATACCTAGAGAAATACCTAGAAAAAATAAACCTGAATGTTAATAGAGATGGTTATCTCTGGAAAGTTGGGTATTTTATTTTTTCTCTTAGTTTTTCTGTATTTCATTCATTCATTTAAAAATGTATTTTAAAAGTACATGTCTTGATCATATGATTTTTATATTGAGATTTTTAAATTTTAAAACTATTATTTTGCTTAATAGTTTTTAAGAACAATTATTAGAAAAGTAATACCCACAGTGTACGTTTGAAGGATTTAGTTCATTTTGTATTTTCATATCTGACACAAAATCATAAAATAATTTTTTCTTGAATATATGAATGAATAGATTTTTTATTTTGATACAAAATATGGGATGAGTTAATTGGCCTAATGGTAACTAGTCCTAAAATGTAATGTTTTACAAAGTAGGTACTCAGCAAGATGCAGCAGGAAGGACAATTTTTTTTTTTTTTTTTTTTTTTTTTTGAGACAGAGTCTCACTCTGTTATCCAGGCTGGAGTGCAGTGGCATGATCTCAGCTCACTGCAAACTCCACCTCCCAGTTTCAAGCAATTCTCATGTCTCAGCCTCTCAGTTGCTGGGATTACAGGCACACACCACCACACCTGGCTAATTTTTGTATTTTTAGTAGAAATGGGGTTTTGCCATGTTGGCCAGGCTGGTCTCGAACTCCTGACCTCAAATGATCCATCCGCCTTGGCCTCCCAAAGTGCTGGTTTTACAGGTGTGAGCCACCTTATCTGGCCAGTATTCTGTACATTTTTAAATATACTTGATAACATTTAGCTTATTTTGTTGTGTATTTTTCTTCCTTGAAACTTGGCTTGTATATGCCAGGACAAGTGTTTCTGAATTAATTAATATCATATTCATATTCCTCTTGTGAGTTCTAATCATTTGTTTATACTGAAATTTGCCTATTTGGAAATCATTACTCTTTGTTGATAGGAGGAAATATATTTGAATTTCACAAATACATATGTATTGTGCATTTGTAAAATGTGTTGCATATTAGCCAAAATGTGTAACTTCTACATAGGCATAGAGCTTGTCTCTCTTCACTATTGTAGCCTTTGAGGTCTCACCCAATGATTAATAAATATTTGTTTAATGAGTTAGAGTCTAGTCTTCTAGAATATTTTCCCATCATGACGGTTTTCATCTGGATATCCGGACATGGATTTCCTTTAAGCCACAGATAATTGTCTCTAATAATAAATATGCTCATTATTCTTTCCTATGTGTGGGACTTAGCTTCTAGTAAGAAAATTGAAACCTATATAAACTGGTTTTAAAATGGGCCACTGTGGTTTTCCCGTTTCACCCCAACAACTTATTATGAATATATGTATATATTTTTTCAAGACGGTGTCTTGCTCTGCTGCCCAGGCTGGAGTGCAGTGGTGTGAGCTAAGCTCACTGCAACCTCTGCCTCCCAGATTCAACCAATTCTCCTACCTCAGCCTCTCAAGTAGCTGGGATTACAGGTGCCCACCACCATGCCAGCTAATTTTTTGTATTTTTAGCAGAGACAAGGTTTCTCCATGTTGGCCAGGCTGGTCTCAAACTCCTGACCTCAAGTGATCCACCCAGCTCGACCTCCCAAAGTGCTGGGATTACAGGCGTGAGCCACTGCGCCCAGCCAATTATGAATATTTTCATATAGAAAAGTTGAAGAATTGTACAGTAAATACCTATATGTCTACTACCTAGATTGCACAAGTAACATTTTAATATACTTGCTTTACCAAATAATCTAACCATCTCCTCATCCCTCTATCTGTTTATTGGTTCATCTTTTATTTATACAGTTTAAGAAATTTGCAGGTATCAATATACTTCGTCTCTAAAAACTTCAGAATTAATCTCCGGTGTTTCGAATGCTTTCAGAGTTTGACTATATGAAATTATATGTAGACATTTGGAACAGATAACTGTTAGGAAACTAAACTCTACCACCTTACATTATTTTCCATACTTAGATTGGAAGGATAGGTTAGAAAGGAAGAAAATGATTTTAGCTCTGTATACTTTATTTTATAGTTTACAGAGAATTTTCATGTGTGTCATCTAATTTGAGCTAATATTACTATTAATAGTAATAGTAGCTAACATTTGTTGAATGCTTTGTGCCAGGTACTGTGCAAGTTTACCTTTAAGAAAGGTACTATGCCAAATTCTTTTCATCCCACTTATAGTTGGTTGTCATATCTATTTTTCAAATGGATTGATTTGTTCACTTAAAGGAATAGTTTTCAGCCCTGTGGTAAACCTTTTAAATTCATATTTGACAGCTGCTGCTATTTTTAGACTGAAGTCTTTGGTTTTTGATGGATTCCTAGGACAGAAACATTTTCTTGGATATTTTATCTTTATAGTTTGCTATTCAGAATAATATATGAGCATAACTTAGGAAAAATTGCTGAAAATGTTTTCTTTGATTGACTCTATCAGCCTCTGATTCTAGTGTGTTGCATGACTTTAAAAGTGCAAAATCTCATATAATGTAATGGATTATAAGAGAGTGTGCATTTAATAGTTATTTCTTCTTGGATTAATTCTATGAATAATAAAAAACGGTAGTTACTTTTTGTGTATTTGTTATACTGTGTGCCAGGTATTGTGATTATCTATATAACTGTCTATATAATTTACATAAAATGCTGTAAGAGTTGAGAGACAGAGTGGGGTTAATGGCTTGTCCTGTGTCACGTGGCTAATAAATAGAAGAACCAGGACATGAGTGTTTCAGCTGCAAAGTCTCTGAGTTTGACCTCTACCCTGCTGTTTTCTATGGTGCGACCTGAGACCCCCTGCTTTATAATTTCTTGGGTTGATTATTAGGTATGTACATTTCTTACTTCAGACGTGCTGATTCTGAATCTCTGTGGATGAAATGTGGTTTTTTGTCATTTAGTTGATTTTCATGTACAGTAAAGTTTGAGAACCATGGTGCTATGCTTTTCTCTAAGCATTATTATGTTTTAATCTCTGTAAGCCCAGAAAAATAGCCAAACTGTATTAATCATTCTTATCCTTGGAGTATATGAAATTTTGCCTTCATCTTTATGCTTTTGTCTTTGCTTCAAGATTGTCATGGATTTTAAGCACCCAGATGGTATCACAGTGCCAGTTATGTTGCCACGTCGGAGTTTGCTTGTGATGACTGGAGAATCTAGATACCTTTGGACCCATGGGTATGTACTGAAATATGACAGGACTCTTTTTACTTTATGAGACTTCTCATTCTTCTTTGTCTGAGCCACAGGGACCATGCCCTGTGCCTGCAGATTGAGGCTTCTGGGTTCAAAACTCCTAGGGGCATAAATCTATAGTTTGATTTTTGTTAAACATTACCTTTTTACTTGGAAAAAAATTTAAATTTATAGCAAAGTTGCAAGCATTGTACAGTGAACTTCTTTCATCTTTCACCTGCATTTACCGATTTTGAACATTTGGGACATTTTTTATTTCTGTCTCACATGTTATTATTTTTACTGAATCATTTTAGAGTAAGTTACAGACATTATGGCTTACTCTTCCGTGCTTCATTGTGTATTTGCTAAGAACAAGGACATTGTGTATGTCAGAGATTGTCAAACTCTGGCTGGTGGGCCACATTTAGTTCTCAGACTGTTTTTGTACTGCTCTTGAGCTAAGAATGGTTTTTACCTTTTTAAAGATTGTAAAAGAAAAAAACAAGAATATTTGACAGAGACTATATGTGGCCCCTAGTGCCTAAAATATTCACTCTCTGGCCCTTTACAGAAAAAGTTTGCCAATCTCTGTTCTATAAAACCACAGTGCAGTGCCAAATTCAACATTGACAAAATAACTCTTACTATACTCTTATACAATCCATATTCAAATGTTGCTAGTTAAATGTTATAGTACTTTAAGCATTCTTTCTGATCCAGGATTCAGTTTGCGATCCCACATTAAGTCTTGTCAATTCTGTTTAGTCTTTTGTTTGAAACAGTTTCTTAACTTTTGTTTGCACTTAATTACATTGACTCTCTTGAGGAGGCCAATTGTGTTGTAGAATGTTCTGCAATTTGAGTTTATTTGATTAAATAAAAATCTAAATAAATGAGTATGTGCTTCTGGTAGGGATACATCTTTGGCCTTTTGAGGAGAGACCATTACACTGCTGAAATTTACGTATATTGTCCCTTAAAATACTGCTGAGTTCTGAACTTATTAATTCTGTTCTTCTTGGAGATTTTAGCTGACATATTTTTATAAAAATTCAAGGAAATGAACATGTAAATGAGTTTGTAACCTGTCCTAATGTGAGCCATTAAAAAATGATGACCTGATTTTGTGCACTTAAAATGAAAAAAAAAAAAAAATGATGATGTGATCCATTAATTTCAGGTCTTGGAATTTTGAGAATAACGACATTTTCTTTTCTGGATTCAAGCATTTTTGCTATCACTAATGTTTAAACTTCTAAAGAGTAATAATATTACAACAAGTACAAAATAAGAAATTACTTTTCATATATATATATTGTGAAAATATTTTAATCTATTCTGGTAATGGTACAGATTAATTTTTTTCTAAAACAACATTTGATCACATTATTCTCTTACTGAAAGCATGTTGTACTATTAAATGTTAATAGAGTTGTTTCTGGAAAGTTAGATTATAGGTAATATTTATTTTTAATATTTGCCCTGGAGTCAGAATTCTCTGCAGTATTTTCAGGGAAAAAACCCTCAGTATTATTTTTGAAGGCTGCCATTGATACACATTGCCTGTAACGTGACTGTGTGTGTGTGCGTGTGTGTGTGTGTGTGTGTGTGTGTGTGTGTGTTAGGAAGAGAGAGAGAGATGGGGAAATGGGGGAGGGAGGGAAGGAGGCAAAGAGACCAGAGGCAATAAAGAGAGAGAGAGTGACATCTAACAAATGCTATACCAGCCACTGAGAGGTTTATCAGAATCTTTGGGTAGAAAGGAGAATAGATTGGAAAAGCATATTTAATACACTTAAAATGCATATAAATTACAGGAAGTAAGCCTTGATAAAACTTTTTGATTTCTATGCTGAAAAACAAAGCACTAGAAAGCATTATAGAGGGACATGGATTGAAAAAAGTTAACACTGCCTTGTAATTTTAATTCCAGATACCTCAATCTAACTTGAATTTGTTCAAGTTTAAATTTACTATTCTAGCCATCATACCCTAAATCAGAAGTGAAGACTGGCAGCACAGGGGTAAACTCACAGTCAGGCATTTCTATTTGGCCGGTGCAATAGTTGTCCACATGGTGGCAGTTTGTTTTTTTCAATTTTCTGCATATAAAAATTAGGAGCTTTCACATAAAATTTTGAATTTTCAGCTTCTCTTGAGAAATTGAGAAGATCTGACAACATTGAACCTTAGTATTGCTTGGCAGCAGTACCTGAAAGTATTTATCACTAGCATTCTTTCGGTGGGGGCCTACTTCTCCAGTTCCCTACAGTTCCCATTCCTTCTGTTACTCCTTCATCTAAGGCTGAGCATCAGCTGTCATTTAACACTGTGCGTGTACTATTGTTTTTATCTTAGAGTTAAATGAAAATTGAGTATTTCTTGAACTCATTTCTGTATTAAAAGTAGGAGATAGAAAGACTGAATGAGAATGTATGTTTCAAGAAAAAAGAGCAGAACACTCTGCTCTGTGTTGAAATGAAAATTTATCCTCTGTGTGTAATGGCAAACAATATATTTCTAAACAAGTTCACCTGTTTCATTTATTTATGCCATCTGACTGGCCCCAGGAAGCATTATTTTATGAGATTATGTGAATGCTCCTTTTAAATTATTTCTGGAGCATTGTCCTTGTGTCAGGCATTGTTCTAAAAACTTTACATATATTAACTTATTTAACTTACACTATCACAGTGACAAGTTTGTTCCATGGTTTTGTCTTTATGTTTGAAGGAAATTGGAGCATAAACAAGTTAAGTAACTTGTACAAAGTCACAAAGCAGTAAGTCGCAGAGCCAAGCTCAGAAGCCAGGCAGTCTGGTTTCAGAATTTGCGTTCTTACCAATGATATTAGGGCTAAATTTGTTTGTTCCCTTTTCTCTGAACTTATACTGTGCCTTCTAGCCTTCACACCTTTGCCAGCCCTGTATCTGTTAACATATAGCTTTTTTACTTCCTTCATAATTTATAAATCTGTCCTGACTACATAAACTTGAAATAATTTATTCCTTATCTTAACTTTTAAAGTCTGTATTGTTTTCTATTACTTTGAGATGTCTCTTCTATTATATTGAATTGTTATTTAAATCTAAAAAACTCTTTTTATAATCTTATTTAATATTGCCCCAATTTGATTAGAATTTGAGTGCAGAGGGAAAACAGTGTTTAGCAATGTTTAAATAAATCATTACTTTAACATATGTTACCTGTTCTTAAACATTTGAGATTGTTGGAAAAGCAGTTAGGAACTCCTTGGCCTTTGCCTAAGGTGTAACTTTTGAGAAGTGAAGTAATTGACTTAAAGCCATAACAAAGAATGACTTACTCTTCAAAAGAGGAATTAGTTTGCTAACAAGGGCTTCAAGAGACTTATTCCTCTAAAATATCTTGACTTTGTTTAGTTCCATAGTTTTAATCATTTATAGCTATTAGAATAACAGTAATATAAATTTAGGCAATGATTGCTTGCTTTCACCTCTAAAAAATTGCCTTTAGCACAGGCGTTTTAAAAAGAGCCATTCTCTACCTTGCTATTTAAAATAGCATCAAGACTCATAAATATTTTCTTTCTAGTACTCAGAATTAATTTACTGGGGTGTTTAAAAAACAATTGGCTTGAAATTTTGTTTCTTATAACAGATGGAGTGAAATATAGCAATGACAAGATGAAAGTTGAGAACTGAAGTACATTATATTTTTCATTTTAGGATCAAATCAATTTTAGGTCAACATTTCTCTTTCTAGATTACCTGGCTTTTATTATAGTAAAGAGGTATCAACAACTTAAGTAAAAAATGGTAATTTTAAGGCCAGGCACAGTGGCTCATGCCCGTAATCCCAGCACTTTGGGAGGCCCAGGAGGGCGATCACCTGAGGTTGGGAGTTTGAGACCAGCCTGACCAACATGGAGAAACCCTGGTCTGCTAAAAATATAGAATTAGCTGGGCGTGGTGGTGCATGCCTGTAATCCCAGTTACTCAGAAGGCTGAGGCAGGAGAATCACTTGAACCCGAGGGTAGGTGGGGGTGAGGGCAGGCGGAGGTTGTGGTTAGCCGAGATCACACCATTGCACTTCAGCCTGGGCAACAACAACGAAACTCCATCTCAAAAAAGAAAAATTATAATTTTATATAATTTGCTGAGATCTTTCAGGCTCAGTACATTCCTTATGAATATGAAGAAGCCTACTTCCATAGAGAGATAACCTTGCCTAGAGTAAATGAAGCAGAAAACTTGGCCTAAGAAGATCTGAGTCTTGGGAATAAGTTTTTAAAAGAAATACAACACATATAGACTGAAAATTATAGGAAAATTATTGCTATCCATAGTTTCCTATGGATAGGAAACTTAATATGGTTAATATATCAGTTGTCCCCAAAATATATGGAGACAGTGTTATTCTCATTAAAACTCTAAAAGGACTTATTTGTCAAAATTGACAAACTGATTCTAAAATGTATAAGGAAATGCGATTGTCAAAACAATCTTGAAGCAATGTTAGGGGATTTATTCTGCCTGATGTTTAAGACTTAACTATACAACTATATAATCAAAATAGTATTATTGTACAGAGAGACAGATCAGTGGGACAGATTATATCCAGAGATAGCTCCACATATACATAGTCAGTTGATTTTTGTCAAAGATACCAATGTAATTAAGTGTGGAAAGGAAATTTTTCATCTAATGGTGCTGGAGCAACTGAATATCCATGTGGAAATAAAATGGACCTTTAGTCTACCTCATACCATTCACAAAAATTAGTACGAGGTAGATCATAGATTTAAATGTAAAAGCAAAAACTATAAAATGGCTTAAAAGAAATTCTAAAAAAATATTTTTGTGAACTTGGGGTAGCCAAAGTTCTTTTAAAGAGAGATTTAATAACATACTTACTATTAAGAAATAATAAATTAAAGATACCATTAAGAAAATGAGAAGGCAGCCACACATGGGGAGAAAATATCTGCTATGTATTTCTGTTTACATCCATATCTTTATTTATTTCTATCTAACAAGGAATTGGGCCAAAGAGTTGAGCAGATCCTTCATCAAAAAAGGATCTATGCATGTCTAATAAGCACATAAAAAGATATATAACATCATTAGTCATCAGATAAATAATAAAACCACAATTTCATACCACATATCTCTCACTAAAATGGCTAATATTTAAAACTCAGAAAATACCAAGTCTTGGTGAGAAAGTTAAGCAGCCTGGAACTCTTTCATATGTTGCTGGTTGGAGTGTAACATTATATAACTACTTTGGAAAACTAGAAGTTTCTTACCTTATGACCCACCAATTTCACTCTTTATTACTTCTTAAAACCCACCAATTTGAGTCCTAGGTATTTACCCAAGAGTAGTAAAACTATATATCCGAAAATGATGTATATAAGAATGTGCACAGAAGCTTTATTTGTAATAGTACCAAACTGTGGACACCAAAATATCCATCGACATGAGATTTTTGATAAGTTGTGTCATGTTCTGGAATATTACTTCGTAATAAAAGGACAACCAACTACTGATATGCTCAACATGGATGAGTCTCAAAATCATTATGTTGAGTGGATAAAGCCAGACACAAAATAGCACTAACTGTTTATGAAGTTCAAGAATAGACAAAATTATGCTGATAGAAATCAGAACAGTAGTTGCTTCAAGGTGGGAAGGATTGACTTGAAGAGGGTACAAGGGAATTTCCTTGGATGATGGAAGTGTTCTATATCTTAATGTGGTGGTTAAATGCACATATATATTTGTCAAAACTAATTGAACTCTACAATTATGATCTGTGTATTTCACTATGTGGAAATTGAACTTTAAAAAGGGCATTATTTTTCTACCAAATCCTTTTTCTCATTCAAAAATTTGATCTTACCCCAGTGAATCCTCTTCATGCCTTCTTACAGTCCAATGGCTTGTACTTACTTACTTTTATTTTTATTTTTCATTTTCGAGACTGGGTATCACTTTGTCACCTAGGCTGGAGTGCAGTGGCACAATCATAGCTCACTGCAGTCTCAACCTCCTGGCCTCAAGGGATATTTCCACCTCAGCCACCTGGGTAACTGGGACTACAGGTGTGTGCCACCATGTTTGGCTAATTTCTTTTCTAATTTTTTGTGCAGACAAGGTCCCATTATGTTGTCCAAGCTGGTCTCGAGCTTCTGAGCTCAAGCAATCCTCCCACCTCGGCCTCCTGAAGTGCTGGGATTATAGATAGGCATGAGCCACTCTGCTCAGCCTCCTTTTTACTTTCAATCTTTGTTTTACTTATCAATATTACCCAATTTAAGATTGAATTATATGCTTTCTTGTTCCATTATCTATGGTTTTCTGATGTCAATAATTTTGAACCTTAACTAAATTTCAGTTACTGAGAAAGATGTATTAAAAACTCCAGTGATAATCATGTATTTATGTATTTCTCCTGTTTTTTTTTTTTTTTTNTAATCATGTATTTATGTATTTCTCCTGTTTTTTTTCTCCTGGTTTTTTTTTTTTTTTTACTTTTTGCTTTATGTATTTTAAGACTGTATTATTACTTAGATGCATACAAATGTATAGGATTTTGTATCTTTTTGTTGGAGTTACTGTTCTGTCTGTTTTTATATTTAGTAAAAAGTAGACTATTTCCTTAAAGTCTACTTTGATTAGTATTTCTAATCACCTTTCTTTTGGTTTTGCTTACTATATGTAAAATATTTATTTTGTGTGTTACATATATATATTTTCAACAATTTTCTGTGCTTATATTTAAGGTATGTCTCTTGTAGTCACCATGTAGTTGTATTTAATTTTTAAAAATCCAGTCCAGTAATCTTTGTTCTTTAATTAGAGTTTTTAATACTTTTACATTTAATATATTACTGACAATGAGTTTAAATTTACCATCTATTTGTTTCCTTTTGGCCCCATCTGTGCTGGAATTGGTGTTAATTAAATATTTGTTATTTTATTTTCCCTGGAATAATTTGTTGTACATTCTTTTAATATTATTATCTTGATAATTTCCTTAAATACTTTCATTTCTTTGTTTTTCCACAATGTCTGACAATTCAGAGAATCCAACAGATATTTGTAATAAATTCTTCTAGATTTACTCTTTTCAGTTAACATTTTTAAAGGACTGAAATATTTTTATTAATACAGTGTTAAGTAAATTTTTTTGACTATTGTTTAGAATCACATGCAGAAAATTTGATACTGTTCAAGCATCTGGAAGTCAAAAAAGTGGAATTATCACCAGTGATGTTGGAGACATAACTTTAAGCAAGAGGGGATTAAGAACATCATTCACATTTAGGAAAGTGAGGCAAACGCCTTGTAACTGTAGTAAGTATATACTTTTGTTTCTACTGTAAAATGGAGTCAGTTTAATATAGAAGTCCTTTAAGGTCCCATCAACACCTAGGAGAACTTTTTCTGAATCTGTCTAATGACATTTCCTGTATTGTACTTTCATGCACTTTTCTTAACCACCCTCATTAGAGTTTACATTCTTTGAGGGTAGGGTCTGGATCTTATTATCTTTTTTTTTTTTTTTTTCCCCAAATTTAGTACTTGAGTTGGGTACCCAATAAATATTTCACTTATTCAAGTAACAGTTAAGAGTGATGCAATTGAAGGGCAATAAGATATTATTTGTTCAAAAAGGATATTGTTGGGAATGGTTTGGTAAGTTTCTAAATTACTTCTTAATCTAACAGGGAAGTTGGAGTTGATTAATTGTTCTATAGTAGATAACTCTAGGGAGATAAGCAATAGTTTATGTTTTAGTGGATTTGAGAACTCAGAAGGGAATAAAAGAACTACTCAAAAACTTGTCAAGAGGGTGTTATTTTGAATTGTCTATACAAGCACATTATGTTCTGGATTTCTTTGACTCAATTAACAGAACCTCTTTCATTTTGTAAATAGTATTTTGTAATGACAGTGATAATAAAAATCCTTTTTATATCTTGGGGGTTTTAATTATGGTGGTATCTACCCATAGTTTTTGGATTTGGTCATAATCTTAAAAATAAATTTAATTAAAAACTCTTATATCTACAAAATATTATCCTTTTAGAACATTGAAATTTCTATATTTTGTATCTTGATGTTAGTGAAGCTTAAAAGAACTTTTTATTTTACTAAAAGTGTCCTTGAAGGCTTAAAATATCGAATTTTAAAAATTTAATTTAAAATATTTATTCATTATTTGATGAGTATCTAACATTGCAGATAGTGAGTTACATGGTATAGAAAAATAAAGCATGGCTCTTGTTTCCAAGGAATTTAAAGTGTAGTTGGAGAGGCAAGCTAGTTTTCTTATGCAAGTGTTTGTCATGGGCATTTATTAAATGTAAGAAGCTCTTATTGGAGATTCAGTTTACAAATTTTTGTTTTTTAAAAGACAAATAACAATTGTGGCTGGCACAGTGTCTCGTGTGTGTAATCCCAGCACTTTGAGAGGCTGAGGCAGGAGAATTGCTTGAGGCCAGGAGTTCGAAATCTGCTTGGGCAACATAGCAAGACCCTCTCTCTACAAAAAAATAAAATAAAAATTTAGACAGAAATGGTGATGTGTGTCTGTAGTCCTACCCACTAGGAAATCTGAGGTGGGAGGATTGTGTGAGCCTAGGAGTTCAAGGCTACAGTGAGCTATGATCGCGCCACTGCACTCCTGCCTGGGTGACAGAGCAAGACCCTGTCTCAAAACAAAAAACAGCAACAGAAACCCCCCCAAATTGTAAATGTTTATCATGTACCACATGATGTTTTAAAATACATATATATTATGGAATCACTCAGTTGAGCGAATTAACACATATTACCTCACATACTTAAACCTTTTTGTGATGAGAGCACTTAAAATTTTATTCTCATAGTGATTTTCAAGAATGCAATACATTATTATTAACTATAGTCACCATGTTTTACACTAGATCCCTGGGACTTATTCTAACTGAAATTTTGTATTCTTTGGCTAGCATCCCCCCAGCCCCCACCCCCAACTGCCTCAGCCCCTGGCAACCATCATTCTACTACTCTCTATTCTGTGAGATCAGCTTTTTTAGATTCTATATATGAGTGAAATTGTATAGTATTTGGCTTCTGTGTCTGGCTTTTTTCTCTTAACATAATATCTGCCAGGTTTATCCATGTTGTAAATGGCAAGATTTCCTTCTGTTTGTGGCGGAATAGTATTCTGTTGTGTATATGTACCATATTTTCTTTATCCATTCATCACTGATAGACACTTTGATTGATTCTATATCTTGGCTGTTGTGAGTAGTGTTGCAGTAAACATGTGAGTGCAGTTGTCTTTCTGACATACTAATTTCATTTTCTTTGGATATATACCCATACTAGGATTACTGGTTTATAAGATAGTACTTATTTTTAATCCTTTTTTTTTTTTTTTTAAGGAAGGCAGAGAAGGGTTTTATTGAGTGACAGAACAGCTCTTGACATGAGAGGGGATTGAACCCGAAGTGGGTAGCCCTCTGTGTGAGAGAGGGCCTGAAGGCAGACAGTCCCCTATTTCTAATTTTTTTGAAGAACCTCTGTGCTGTTTTTCATAATGACTGCTCTAATTTACATTCCCACCAACAGTGTGCAAGGATTCCCTTCTCCTTTTATCCTCACCAACACTGGGTATTTTTTGTCTTTTTTTTTTTTTAATACTGTTGCATGTGCAGTAGCACGATCATGGCTCACTGCAGCCTTGACACCCCAGGCTCAAGCAGTCCTCAGTAGTTGAGACTGCAGGTGCCCACCACCATACCTAGCTGATTTTTAAATTTTTTTCAGAGACACGATCTCTTTGTGTTGTCCAGGGTAGTTTCGAACTTGTGGTTTTAAGTGATGCTCTTGCCTTGGCCTCTCAAAGTGCTGGGAGTAAAGGCAAGAGAACCACCACACCTGGTCATTTTTAGTCTTTTTTTATAATAAACATTCTAACAGGTGTGAAGTGATATTTTATGTATTGAATTTGGATTTTCCTGATGATTGGTGAATTTTTTTTTTTTTTTT